ACAGGTCTAGAAGCTGGGAACGCTGCACTGACGTAAGGTTGTCATCAATGAATGGGCAAAATACATCAGGAGATGATGGGTCAGAAGTAGAAACAGCACTGATGGTACGTGAATCGGGACAACGCGAGTCTTCGGGTACGTCCAGGACTTGTGCGTCGTCGACTGGTTCCACTCTGCCGAGACATTCCCCTCGAACCAAGGTAACAGTGTACGGGGATGGGTTGGTCACAAAAATAGCGGCGTTGCCTTGGGTGATTTGCACGGTCGCGAAAGGTACTAGCAACCCTTTCCTCCTGGAAGCACGGTAGGATGGCGAAACAAGTGCAATTGTGTCGGAGAGACCGGTGCAGTAGACCGATACGCCCATCGTCGATCTTGGAGGCACTATAGTATCGTCTTTCATAAGAATCTTGTTCAGTGTCGAGGGACCGTCTTCTGGCGTCAAATGCGAGAAGGGCGAGAGTTCAATTTCGGCGGTGGCACAATGAATGACGGCGTCATTGCGGGAGAGAAAATCCCATCCCAAGATGACGTCATGAGAGCATGCAGGAATGATGATGAATTGGGCGACACACAGAACGTCCTGAACGACAACGCGAGCTGTGCAGCCTGCTGTAGGATTAATACGATGTGAGCTAGCGGTACGAAGGGACAGTCCAGAAATTGGCGTCGTCACTTTTCGAAGCAAGCGGCAAAGGTTTTCGCTCATAACTGATACCGCAGCTCCAGTGTCAATAAGAGCAGATGCATGAACACCGTCCACAAGCACGTCAATGACATTAAATGGGCGGCTCTGAGGGCTTTCACAATGCGATAGCGTCGCAGTCCTTGCCTCTGGGACTGCGACGACTAGTTTTCCCGCTCATGAGCAGAAGAACTTGGCCGCATGGGGGACAGAGACCGACGTCGTGGAGACGGCGACCTTCGAGCAGACGGACCTGGGTGAGACGACAGTGGCACAGACGGCAGTTCCTCGTTATACGAACGGCTAAGGTGGCCAGCAACAGGAGAAGTGGGAGCCGGCTGTAGTCGAGAGCAATAACGGGCTACGTGACCAGCGTAACCGCAAGCAAAGCAGATGGGGCGGTTGTCGGGTGTGCGCCATCGGTTTGCCGGGGTGGGTCTCGCCCGGAACGGTGTCTGGAAAGGCTGCATGGTGGACTGAAAATGAGGCTGAGGGGTTGCGCCAACATACGCAGCCGGCATACCCGCTGCAAAGGACGGAGGTCGTGCGGCAGCTTCGGCGTAAGTCACTGGTGCAGGCGCTTGAACGACTGGAGGCGGCCTTGCGACCACTTGGGCGTAACTTGGGGGTGCAGGGGCCGGAAGTTGTTGTGGGTGGTACGCAGGCAAGACCTCCGCTATTTCCTGCTCAATCGCTCGGCGGATGGGTGGAAGAATGGTAGTGGCCGATTGTTGAGCAGCCGGTGGGTGGGCAAAGGGCAGGAGAGAGAACTGCCGCGCGATTTCCTCACGTATGAAGGACTTGAGATCTGCCGGCAGTGCCACCTGATCACAGCTCGCCTCCAAGCCTGCAAGCCCTGCATCTCGTGGTGTGGAGCGACGGGTCATCGAACGCTGCCGGCAGAGCTCCTCGTAGCTCTGGCACAGCGTGATGACCTCAGCTACTGTGCCTGGGTTTTTGGCAAGCAGCATCGTGAAGGCATCATCGTCAATGCCCTTCATGACGTTCCGGATCTTGTCTGATTCGGACATGCTGTCGTTCGACTTCTTACACAAGTCCAGGACATCTTCAATGTAACTGGTGAATGACTCACCGGCCTACTGAGCGCGTTCGCGTAAGCGCTGCTCGGCTTGCAGCTTGCGAACAGCAGGGCGGCCAAAAACGTTGCTGATAGCAGTCTTGAAACCGGACCAGGTTGCAAACTCGGACGCGTGGTTGGTGTACCACAAACTTGCAACGCCCGCAAGGTAGAACACCAAGTTTGTCAACTTGCCGTCCTCGTCCCATTTGTTGGGGACGCTCACGCGCTCGTAAATAGCGAGCCAGTCCTCCACGTCAGTGCCATCGGCGCCCGTGAAGATGGGTGGATTGCGGATCCTGGGGACACCGGGACATGGGGGTGGCATGGGAGGAGGCGTTTGCTGAGAGGCGTCGTGGGACATGGTAGATTGCAGCGTACGTGAGCGTAGTTCCAAGGGCATCGAAGGGGATCGTAGCACTCTCCACCAATTTGTTATGGCGTTTATTAGCCGGCACACAGCGAGTCTACACAATAGCGACAGTAACGGCCAAAAACACGGGGTTTCCGCGCGAGCGGCGTTCTCTTTGGGCAGACCCACTAGAAAGCACATAAGAGTTCGACCCACTTCAGTGTTCGGCGGCTTCTGTACAACACTACTAAGCAACTATAAATTGATGCAGTTTATCTTCGTATGGCCTCTTTCAAAGATCTCAAAAGGATACATGTGGTTTCTACATAGACTCATGTGCAATACAGACATGTTTTTGATTTTGCTGCCTTTTAAGAGAAAAATGTGTGTTGAAATATGTTAACGCACTAGCATGCCCCTGTATGTATATATGCGTGTTTGTGGCTTTGTGTTTGTATAATTATGTAAAATTGCAGGAGTATATATATATTATATTATTATGTATTATGTACGTATGTATGTATGTATGTATGTATGTATGTAATTATGTAAAATTGCAGGAGTATATATATATTATATTATTATGTAATATGTACGTATGTAATATTGCCGCACTGCCAAATACAGAGGGTTGTAGGCTAGTCAAGCTGTCCGGAGACGGATTTTTTCTACAATCCCCTCATCTGTATCTTACAAAGATGGAAAATGAAGTTATTATTATATATTATTATTATTATTATTATTATTATTATTATTATTATTATTATTATTATTATTATTATTATTATTATTATCATTATTATTATTATTATTATTATTATTATTATTATTATTATTTGGGTGATTACATGTTAAAAGGTTGCGGCGAAACGCAATGAGTAGTTTCGCAAGCCGTCTTATATCAATGGGCAGCAAATATTCAGCTACGTTTGTAAGGGCACCTTTTACTTTGATACTACACCGATAACTATGACAGAGGAATCAAGCATATTTTTTTCCCGTGCTCGTTCGTCTGCTCAGGTTTATTCGTCAAACATTCGCAGATACCGTAGGTAGCCGAAGAGATAACACGGCGTATAGTACCTATTGAGCAATGATGGCCAATGCCGTGTTCCAGGGACAGCACGCTCAATTTCACAATCGACCTGCCATCTATTTGGTTAAAGTGATTCTTCCCTAAACTAAACATTCTATATATTCTAAGTACTCGAGGACACTGCTCTCATTTGATGTTCCGAGGATTCGACTTTGCTATTGTCACTATGCTGAGGCCCCCGGCTGAGCGATCGTAGCTTCTGTAAAGCACCGCCTTCTCGTATAGGAGAACATTCTTAAAGTGTTGCTACATTTTCTGTTATAATTTCTCTTTTTAGACTGCAATATCATAAAATCATACGCACCATAGATTGAGCGAGGCACCTGGTTTAAAGACAGTGTTGGCAGTGAACGCCACACAGTGATGTGCTAGCGGACCAACTCAGGCCTGTCCAGAGGGCCCGTGTGGTGGCAGAGGGGCTTGACCTCTCTGTCCCAATAAGGGAGCAGGCAGCATCAGTCTTAGACTGGTCCTCGGGACCTCAAAAGTTCTCCATACCATACCATATTGCAGCTCACTTGAATTTTTACCGACAAGCAGAAATCGAAGGCAGACTAGTGACTGAAAAGACGATGGTGTGTGTGCGCTTGCGTTTTTGGTGTATGCGTGTGCTTGCATGAGTGTGTTTGTGTCCGTATGTGCGCGCGTGCATGCGTGTGTGAGCGGGTGTGCATGAAAATATCACTATTGCGTTCAACTCCAAAAGCCAAAACTTAAAAGTCATATACATGCATGGCTACTATCCGCAATCATGAAGGCGTATGCAAAAAAAGAAAATGTACTTGAGGATGACTTACTGATAAGCTTGGGCATGTAGTGTTTTCAGGCGTAAAACTACAGCCGTTGATGCATGAGTCCAGGTATTGATAGGATAGCGAGTGCGCGACACTTCCTGCATCGAGGTGATGAAGCGACTACACTCACCAGTTGTTTTATGCCAACGTCGCACAGTCTAGGTATAAATTATCCTCAATCTGGATGAACATTTCAGGACTAATTGACTGGTCTCTTTTGCAGCTTCAATAAACGACCCCTTTACGTTAATATATGTTCATGACAAGGCCATATCCGCGTCATGTGACAGTGTTACAAAGTTATTACATTGCTGACATGATTTCGAAGATTTACGAGTTTCCAAATACTAAATTTACAGCCCCAAACAAAGCTATGGTCATTCAGGGGTGTCCTCGCAAAAAGCCTCGACATAAATGGTGTCGCGTACCCCTTGTAAACACGGAGCATGTTGCAACGCAGGCTGACGATGTTAGCTGTTCACCACAGCTCCGGTGACGTAGACCGGACATATCCGAAGAGATAGGTCTCAGGTACTATGTTTCAAATAACAAGCCGATTTAGAACAGAGGCAGGTATTCAAAAGCTTGCTCGGCTGCACCTCTGCCATCCTTAGCAATTGGCATGTTTAATTTATAGCCATAAATTACGCCACAAGTGCTGTAAGCCTAGATAGTCATGCAAATGATCGTCGTCTTGACTTCATTTACCGGCTCAGTGCGTTTCTACGTAATCGTTGAAACCGTTTCAATGTTCTTCTAAACGGCAATCATCGTCCACCATGTAGAATATTTTTAATTTTACCAGCCTCTTTGATTGCATACCTCAACAGCCTACATGAAGAAATCATTTAAGACTACATTGCTCCGGAACATTGAATAGTATATCCGATGTTCATACTCTCGAGATCCTTGGTGGTGTATTATCCCATTAAAACGACGGCGGTACACAGCCTGCCACTTAGCGGCTTGGTAACAAAAGAATATCACAACCATGCTATCCATTGACCCTTCCGTTTATTCAGTGTTTAGATGTTCTGCCTGTTTTAGAATAGCCCTGGTTGCCGCTGCCGCGCGGGCAGCATCCAAAATAGCGCCCAAGCATCTTGTCTAATTCCGTTGCCGGCAATGCCGTCTCCCGCTTCGCTACGACTCTCAAAGGTGGCGCTGTCTGTGGTATCTAGGTTTGCCGACCCTCCACCGGAGGGCGCAATGTCCCGGATTTCTGATCCGGAGCTGCTTGTGGCGGGGCCGCTCCGTTTGCGGTTGTAATTGAAGCAGCATGCCCGGAACATGGCTGTCCCGCACGCGGTAACGCACTCTGGTCCGCAGGCGTTACAGGCGCGAGATGCTTCCCCTCGGGGCACCAGTGCGCACAGGAGCAGCAGCATACCGCAGGACGCTGCGATAACAGGATGCATGAGCAGAAGGTGCAGTTGTATTTCGCTGTTAAAGCGCTCAACATAAAATAAATATGAATTTCGGAAATGGTATGCATAAATTAGGCTTGTACGCACTGGTAATAAAGCAATTTAGAAAATTTGTGCTTTGAACATTTCTATCGCTAGAATTTTCATCTTATGTTTGTGAGGGGGCTATAAAAGAGGTTGAAACATCATTATTGATATATCTATGAGCTAATAATTGTTTGGCAGGCAAGCTAGAATTAAAAACGTAGTTGCGTCATGGTTAGATAAGTGATGCCTTTTATTTTGTTCAATCATAACTTAATTGGTAAAATGGTTAATAAGGTGACCATTATCAGGTGTACATACCAAAAGAAAACGCAAGAAGACAAAAAAATACTACAACGCTGGAACATCGAACAGTTGCGTTCCCACGTCTTTCTGTCATATTGTTGTTTCACTGAGGTCAAGCTTCATATATGGAGCACTGGCTCCCAGTTGTGTTGCTGTTAAAGTTGTTAAGTGACACAATGCAGAAATAAACAAGAATTCAGAAGAACCAGAAGAACCAACGGTATTGAAAACAAAAAGAATGATGAGGTCTAATAAGTAGGGGTAAAGATAATACTTATTTATTTATTTATTTACAGATACTGCAATCACCTTTGGTGATTTTAGCAGGGTGGTACATGAAGTTAGTCATGAACAAATGGCAAGTACAATGTCATATAATATATACAGGTTATACAATGTCTATAGGGCAAATACAAACTTCAACTGGCAATATCATACAATAAAAAAATAGAAGACTACAATTATACAAGCATGTACAGTGGTATGTAATACGATTCAACAATTCAACTGGTTAGTGCACTTTCTAATTTTGAGGAAAACAATGCCAATGAGGGTGCTGAAACAATTGCATTAGTTAGTTTGTTTCACTCGACTATGGTGCGAGGAAAAAATGAATACTTAAAGCAATTATTGTGTGTGGAAAAGGGGGTTATGGTGAGGTCATGTCTCTGCCTGATAGAGTAGCCAGAAGAAAAAGAAAAAATATCGGCTATGTCTACTTGATATTGGCCGTTAATTAGTTGGTACAGAAACTTAAGCCTTAAGTTACGGTATCTTAATGATAAAGGTGAAAGTTGAGCTCTGCTTAACAGGTCAGTAACGGAAGTCCTCGAAAAATTATTGTAGACAAAACGAACTGCTCTTTTTTGCACTTTTTCTAATTTGTTAATGTTAGTCTTAGTAAAAGGATCCCATATAATAGCGGCGTAATCTAATATTGGTAAAACAATTGATTTGTACGCTAAAAGGCGGACAGAAGGAGTGGATAGTTTGAGAGCACGACATAGAAAAAACAGTTTGTAAGTTGCATTGGCCGTTACATGTGTAATGTGTTTGTTCCAGCAGAGATCATTCGATATGAAAAGCCCCAAGTACTTATAATTAGTGACTTCAGTCAAAAAGGTGTTGTTAGCATTGTATCTGAAATGCAAAGGTTTTTTCTTGTGTGTAATTCGCATAAAAACAGTTTTATCAAAGTTAATGACCATCTGCCATTCCTCGCACCAGGAGGCTACTTTTTGAAATGCCTGATTTAACAGAAGTTGGTCGGATGTGCTATGAACCTCAGAGTACAAAACACAGTCATCTGCGTAAAGTTTCACTTTAACAGGAATTTGTTCTACAATATCATTAATGAACAAAAGAAACAGTAGAGGCCCTAGAACTGAGCCCTGGGGAACGCCAGAACCAACCATTACATATTTTGAGTTGCAACCGCGAAAAGAAACAAATTGTTGTCGTTTAGTTAGGTAGAAAGAGAGCCAGCCCATTAACTTTTTGTTTTTAAGTATTTTCTCTAATTTAAAAAGTAATTTTTTGTGGGAAACCTTATCGAAGGCTTTGGCGAAATCCATAAAAATTGCATTTAATTGTTTTCCGTGGTTAATACTTTTCGCAAAGTCATGTACGGTTTCAACTAGTTGAGTGAAGGCTGAAAAACCTTTTCTAAATCCATGCTGATGTCTAGTTAAGAAATTGTGTTTGTTGAGAAACTCTACGATATGATTGTGTATTATATGTTCTAATATTTTGCAACATGTTGAGGTTAATGAAATTGGTCTATAGTTACCGACCTGGTTTTTGTTTCTCTTTTTGTGTAATGGTTTAATTCGGGCAGTTACCCAATCATGCGGTAGTTCACCATCGAGTAATGATTTACAGAACAGTACGTACAAATACTTTGATGTCCATTTTGCATACCTTTTTAAAAAGTCATTGGGTATGCAATCAGGACCAGGTGATTTTTTCGTGTCTAGTTTCAGTAACATGTTCAAGATACCCCTTTCCGAGATAACAACATCAGACATGGGAGGTAAGGAGACATCAAAAGTTGGCAAGGTACCATTGTCTTCAGTGTAAACCGATCTGAAGTGTTCATTAAAAAGGTTCGCGATTGATTCATGATCACTTATCTCTCTGCCATCGTCATCAAATATTTCGCATTCATTTGACTTAGGAGAAATTGTTCTCCAAAACTTCTCTGGCGATGAAGTAATGAAGCTAGGTAAGTAAGGAAGCAATACAATATGTAAAACGAGAAAAGAAACATAAAGGTGTCGGTTTTGAACCTTATACTCTTTTCTACAGAGCAAAGAGCCTGTCCAGTGGCTGTCAAGTAGACCAGTCATGACTTCATCATCATCATTATCATCATAATCAGCCTGACTACGTCCACTGCAGGACAAAGTCATGACTTACAAGAGCCTTATTTGCTGTGCGGTTCAGGTGTGAATCCAGAAGCGAAGCTTGGCTTGCGGTTGTGAAGATTATGTGAACTGAGTCCAATTACGCTATAGCACGCTATTTTTGAAGTCAAAATTTAAGCATTGCTCTTAGTGTTGTTGAAAAAAAAGCATTCTCTGAATTGTTCAATAAAGTTTAAATCAAAGTTTGAGTCATGTACATATCATTTCCTCCTCATTTTGCCTTTTAAACAACTGCTTAAGTTAACAGCGATTTGTGTGGCCTGGCAAGACGTGGTGTGTGGTCTCCGCTAAAACTATCAACATCTTGAACAGTACATTCCTCAGAAGTAGGGTGAGTCTTGTTGCTCACCACGGGTCCACATTAACAAAAAAAAGCGGAGAAGACAACTATCGTCATGATAAACTAATTTGGGGAACCGAATACAGTAACTAGTGGTCTAATTAAAATATTGGCACGTTCCTTTCCTGAAGTTTTGCCATCACCCCTTTACAATACATTCAGCGTAAACCAGTCCAACGATGTTCGAGAAGCTTCGAGACCATAGTAGATCTTTTTTTTTAAGATTACGCCCACTTCGTGAGAATTACATATTAATATGGAACCTACTTCACCACTGGCAATATTGCTAGAATATTCGATGACAAGTGTATAAACGCCGACGCGGGTAGCCGCTTGTCAGTTGATCGACGGGCGACGCTTTGCTTCGCCGCTATCACCGCCAGTGTCTTGCAGTGATCAAACTTTCCTTTTACGTGGCTTCTAGTTCGGTCCAAATCAACAGTTAATTATTCGACCTGCGGTCTGCTTCATCCATGTATGTCACGACACTGTGACAATATATAGCACAACTCTTATTCCAACAAGTGGCTGCGAAGATGCGGTGGTGAACTAAATACACCCAGTACTTAAAGAGAATCTTAGAGAATGGTAGAAGAAGGGAATGGCGGCTGTGAGAAGACCTCGAAGTTGTGTAAGGCCTACGCTAAGGACGACACGTCGGTCGTGTCTGTGACCATCTCTCGTTTAATTGGTATCTCTGTGTGCTGGGAATCAAAAGGGAAACAACCTGCACGCATCGCCTAGGTAAGGACTGGAAACAACCTTGAGGCAACAGGATTAGTCTGCAGAATCGCACAATTCCACTGTGTTAAGCACTGCGCAGCTTAGGGAAAGCGTCGCCTGATTATCTGTTAATCGTTGGTCGTCTTTTTGTCAATAACTCTACCGTCATCGTTGTGATCATCTACTTCACTCTCATAGCAATATGCACCGATTTCTCGAGCATGGCACGGACTGACTGAATTTGGAGAGATGACCAGTACAGTTGGAAATATATACAAAGAAAAAGAGATACCCAGAAAACAGAAATACAAAGAAAAAGAAACAAAAGTAATATCCGCGCGGTGAGATTCAAACCTGCGTGCCTATGATCCTTGGTGAGGGTCCTAACCACTCGGCGCTTCCGACAAGCAAATTATATAGCGTGGCGTTGTACAAAACCACAAGGAGGCGAGAAAAGAAGTGAGGGTGAAGAGAACAGATCTCGGGGTGCAAAGCAAAAAAGAAAGGGAAGAGCGAATAAAAGCTTAGAGAGAAAGAACGAAATTAGAGGACTAAATGCAGAAAGAGAAATGAGGTGAGGAAGATAAGCAATCAATAAAAAGGAAGAAAGAAATGGAGCTCAAAAGAAAGAAAGAGGAAGCGCGAAATACATAAGAAAGAGAACGAAAGTAAAGACGGCTGAATTAAGATAGCAAGACCGAGAAACAGAAAGAAAGAAGTAGAAAGAAACACAGGTGAGTAGATAAGAACAAAAAAGAAGCAAAAGAGAAAAAGAAAGAATTAAGAGAATTAAGGCTAGAAAAAGACATAGAGTAATAAAGAAAAAAATCAAGTTAGACTATGTAGGTGTTCATCAGAACTATTTTCTCTTCAACATTACAGACTGTAGAGTAGACCTGTGTGCCGGTACCGAAATTACCGGTGGCCGTGAGTCACCGGTACGGAGTATATCAGACTGGCGTCGGCGCAGCACCGCGAAAGGGGGTGGAGGGGTATGATGAACATTCAAGAGTTGGTGGAGATAGAAACTTGTGTCATGAATTTTGAAAAAAAAATCTGCTTTCCCCATAGCGTGAAGCAGTTAACGTGAAAAAAGCAATATACTGCTGCCTCAGTTTTCCAGTCTTAGCAGGTATAAATACAAATGTTCAGA